GTCGCTGGCTCAGCCACCTCCACCTTCAGAATTATAGGCAAGCTTTAAGTGACATATACAGCTTTAACGTTGGGGGTTGGTCACTTTAATGGGTAAAAGAAAACAGTGTTGACAGTTTGAGAGTGACTGCATGTGAACTGTAGCCTCCAGCATGCAAGTCAGGTGCTCTGTATTCCTCAACCATTGTATCAGTGTTTATTGCAGCGACAAAAACTACATTAAAGTTAAAATGCATTCTAGCCACTCTTCTGTAAAAACATTTTCAACTTGTCCACCGCAAATCGTGCTTCTTAAACTCACTCTTCATGGTGATAATGGCACCTCTTAACTTCATTTTGCTTTTATTCCCAACAAACATAAACACATTATCATAGGTATTTCCACCTTCGCTGTTGAACAAATGACAGACGGAGTCATTTTTCTGGAAAGGACGGCCATTAATCACAAGCGCAACAGATTGCCTGTCAGAAAACTGTAAACACAGGTTGTGTCGAGTGTCTGGATGAACGCCACACGCTGTCGTTTGTCTGTTTAGCACTGTCACCTTTCATCTCATCATCCATCCTCATCTCAATCGTCCATTTATCATATTCAAAATGCACGAGGTAGCTACAGCCAGAACGCAAATTGGCAAATTTCCTCTGTGTAATCACACCCAACGGCAGAACAAAAGAGCGAGAAAGGCGAGAATGAGGGAGGGGAGCATTGTTTAGAAATAGGAGATGCTTGTATGGAGTACAGAAGTGATAAGTGGAGAACTCCATCTGCGCCTGCCCGTAAGATGGGCCCTAATTTGCTTATTTGTAGCTGTCAGTTGTGCTTTTGTGTGCCCAGTGATCCAGGCCTATTGACAGGCCGAGGCTGCGGACAGCAACACTCAGAAGCACTGTAACCTCTATCTAAACACGAGTCTCAACTGCCACTTGTTTCGTGAACGCTTCAGTCATTATTTCCCTCTCCTCTCCTCTCCTGTCCTCTTCTCTCCTCTCCTGCCCTTCCCTCGCTCACTGCCTCTCTTTTTTTACACTCTTATCTCATCTTGCGAGCATGTTTATTTTATGCTTTTTGCAGACTGCCTCAGCTTGCCGTGTTTTCTCGGCTGGTAAACCATGTTTCACTTTCCACTTCAACAGGTTGGGATGAAAAGGGTGTATGTAGAAATACAGGCAGTGGTGTAAATCACACTGTTAAACTGTATGGAAAAAAAAACTTTCATTATTTGTCCTGCTTGTCTTTTGTTTAACTTTCCTGTCTTGTCCTTTTCTCTCCTCTCCTTGTTTCTTCTTCTCTCATCCTCCGTGCATCTCTTCAGTTCCTTCTCTCCTTGTTTTACCTCCTCCCCTCTCTTCTCCTTTCCTTGTTTTCTTTCCTCTATCTCTTCGTGTCTTTTCAGGTCCTCCTCTCCTCTCTTCACCTAGTTTCCTTTCCTCTCTTTTTCTGTGTGAATCTTTTCAGTTCCTCCCCTCATCCCTTTGTTTCCCCTCCTGGTGTTGTCTTTTTCCTCTTCCCTCTACTTTCCTTTACCTTTTTCTTATATTGTCCTGATTGTCCTAACTCCTCTCCTTTCTTCTCCTTGTTTTCTTTCCTCTTTTTCTTCTTGTACGTCTTTTCAGCTCCTTTCCTCATCCTCTCCTTGTTTCCTTTCCTCTCCTCTCCTTGTGCATCTTTTCAATTCTTTCTCAGCTTGTTGTACTGTCTCTCCCCTCTTTCTCTCCTTGTAGGTAATTTCAGCTCCTCCTCTCCTCTCCTCTCCTCTCCTCTCTTTTCTGTGTGTATCTTCCAGTTACTCCTCTCCTCTCTTTCCCTTTTGTTTTTTTTCTTCCTCCTCTTCTTGTAGGTCTTTTCTGCTCCTCCCCATTCACTGCTTTTCTCTCCCCTCCTTGTTTCCTTTCCTCTTTTTTCTGTGTGCATCTTTTCAGTTCCTCCCCTCATCTCCTTGTTTCCTCTCCTCGTGTTTTGTCTTCGCCACCCATCTCTTCTCCTTCCTTTCCTTTCCTCTCCTGTCCTCTCATCTCCTCATTTCCTCTCCTCTCCTCTCATCTCCTCATTTCCTCTCCTCTCGTCTCCTCTCCTCTCCTCTCCTCTCCTCTCCTCCCCTCTCTGGGGAGGATTAGGACAGAGTCCTTTTCATCCTGCTGTAATCCTACACTGGCAACCCAACTCCAACAAGAATAAACATACACACACACACACACACACACACACACACACACACACACACACATTGTGCTGTGAGATATCTATATGTTCTGGGGGCTTTTCCCAAATAAGACCATTCACATACAATCCGACCACATAGCCATACAGTTTGCTTCATGTTCGTCTGGAAAAAGAGCATCAGAAAGGATGATGGAATATGTTGCAGTTAATTTTCTGCTCTGGTTGTTGCTCCTCTCCAAAAAAAGTGAAAGAGAGAGGCATAAGGCATGAATGAGAGAGGGAGATGTAAACAGTCTGATCTACCTCCCAGCCAGTCTCTGTCATCCCCCTCGAGGTGGGGCCTTGCTGGGACTCTTGTCAGCTGAGCTCCCCCCTGCTGAGACCTACAATGGCAGATTGGCAACCCTAATACCACAGCTCTCTTTATCTGCCTGAATTAAAACCCAATTGGCGATGGGTTATGGGAATTGCTGGCTCAGGGAGAGCATTTTATTTATTTATTTTATTTTTCAGGAATTATGTGGGTGGGCGCATTTTAGGGAAAAAAATGTAATCAGAGGGATAGAAGCTTGAGGGGTATCAGTCAGAGGATTAAACACTGAGCTAATACAGCAAGATGCAGAGCTGTTGTTAGCCCTTTATTAAGAAGGATGTGTGTTTGTTTTCAAAAGGATGGGGCCCATGTGTGTATGTGTGTGTACGTGCTTACAGGAAGTGCTTGCGAGGCAGGCAGGATGTACAGGAAGTGTTTGGCTTGGCTGAGCTGCCAGCTAGGTTGCTGCTCTGAGGATTGCTGATGCAGGGGACATAGATGCAAAGATTCCCCCTCTTTTGTCTTGCATTCAAACTTTGCAGCAGACACACAGCACAAAGAACACACACACACTGAGAGAAAGGAAATCTTGTAGACTCAGCTGGGACAGAGACGAAGCACTCCAGGAAAATAGCTGTGAACTGAACTCGGTACTCTGGGGCTGTCAACTAATTGAACCATCCATCAGTTTTATTCCACTGCGCGGAAACAGAGGAACCTGGTCACTTATGAAACGTGGGGGTGTGATGGACAAGCCACACTTATTACGTAACTAGTCCATGTCCCTGCTGTAGAGAGGGTGACGTTGTAGTGTCAAAATAGGACAGGGGATAAGAGGAGGGTATGTTAGGATGAAGGGCTCATCAGAGGTGAACCTAAGCTTTTTTTATGTCAGCTGTAGGGGTGTGATATTGAAAGTGAATTGAGAAAAGACAGAATAAAAGATGATCAGGTTGGAATGGCTGCAGGTCTGTAAAATGTCTTACATTCAATTTTATAAATATTGGGCCTTAAAAGATGAACCTAACACAACCTAACACTGAACCCAGTACTGTCTTTTTACTTTATACTTTTGGCAAAAATATCCCTCTAATAACCATATTCCTATATAAAACCTTCCTCTGCACACGACCACATGTTTACCTATATAAGAAAAAGATGATTTCTCCAAACTTAAGTCTTAAATTTACCTATAAATTATCTTAAAAGGGTCTTTAAAAGTACTTAATTTAAGTGTCTGATACCTGTAGACACCGTGGAAAAATGAAGCTGCTATATCACATGGATGCACATTGATGCACAGAACTGCTTATTGAGCCTGCTCATAATTATCTCACCTCCCATGGTTATACAGGTCAGCACAATTCATCTGCTGAGGTAAGGTAGAAGAATGATAAGGTTAGCAACTAACGATAATTTTGATTGTCGATTAATCAGCCGTTTATTTTCTGAGTTAATCCGTTAATCTCAGAGTCCAAAATGTCGTTTTCAGATGTCTTATTTTGTCCAATAAACAGTCTATAACCCAAAGATATTAAATTAGTTTTGCAATATAATTATGAAATATAATTGTTCAAGAGTTGAATGAAGTAACACCCTCCACCCATAAGGAAAAACTGTAAAAAAGCAAAACAAAAATAGAAGTGCAAAAGTGCAGACTGGATAAAAGTAGCAGAGGGACAGAGATGGACGCAAATAGAAGGAAAGACAGAGATAATCATGAATGAACAGTAAGAGTGAAACGCGGCGTTGAAAGACGAGAGGGCAGGGAGGGAGCTGTTATCGGCGCACGACCCTGTCTGCAAACTCTCAGTGACATACCCCAGTACCCTCCGCCTGTGCTTGCACTCCCGCCTGCCTCATATCTTCTGTGTTGACAGCTGATAGGAAGATGGCCCGCTCAGTCAAGGTAAAGAGTCGGACCGAGTCTAGGATGGAGAGGAAAGACAGAAAGAACTTACGAACTCTTAAATAGTACACGAGCTTGTCCTTATCACTGCCTCTGATTTCAATCTCGCTGCAGGTTTCCCCTCAGCTCCGGCACAAGGTCGTATATTTAATTCTCTGAGGCCACAACTCCGCTCATCAACTCCATATATAGTACATCATAGATATACATCCTGTCCTCATAGATCTCTGAGGGAAGCACTTGAGATCAGATAAACTTTTCATTGAGGGACTGAACCAGTGAGAGAGCAAAGAAGCACTGTGTTGTAATCATATTCAGCCTCCACTGACTCAAATGTTAGGGTTGTGCTTTTTCACAGGAGCTATTGTTGGATTTAATTGTCTGAACTGTTTTTGCTGAATTGTCCATTTTCCTGGACCGCGCTCAGATTCAACAACTGCTCTCACACTTTACCAGATGTGCTGGATCCTTGGTGCCAGCGACTTTGGACAGGACAAACTTAAATTAGCTCAAGTGTGAAAATGTCCTTTTAAATAAAATCTAAAGATGTATGTGCACAACATTTTTAAGATTTCAGTCTAAAGTCCCTCCTTTTTTTTCTTTTCTTTTTCCAAACAGACTCGTCGGGCCAGGTGCCCTCGTCGCCCCTGGGCTCCCCCACGTCCCACCGGGGAATGCACCCGTCTCTGCTCAGCCCGACGTCCATGGGGCCCTCAGGCTCCCTCCACTCTCCCATCAGCACACTGAGTTCACCCATGAATGGCCTGGCCTCACCCTTCTCTGTCATCAGTTCACCCATGGGCCCCCACTCCATGAACTCTCCTGGCATGGGCTACGGCCCCAGCGTTAGCCCCCAGGTGAGGCCCGTGACAGATTCCCAGATACGCACATGCACTTTTGCGTATTCAGACCTAGTTTCCTCAAGGTTACTTTTATATACATTAAAGCAAACACTAACACAAACCTGGAACTACGTTGGCAAGGCAATGAGAGGTCAGTTTAAATCCAATGTCCAAAGCTTGTGGTCTCTGTACGGGCCATGTATCACTCGTTATGGAAAGACGGCATGTAGTTAAGTTTGTAATATGCATGTTAGTTTGAAGTTAGCGGTCTGTGCTCATGCACTGTGTGTCAAGCCTTACTAGTCCAGTTTGGGTGAAATTGAGGTTTTATTCCACATTTCCAGAGGCAATATACTTGCCAACCCTCTTGTTGTTCCCGGGAGACTCACGTTTCTCATTGCACTGTCCTGATTTCTTTCTGGAGTCCCAGTTCTCCCGTATTTCTCCCAATTTATGAAAAATTGTCACACTTTTTTACCCCCCCTTTTTGCTACCACAACCTGTTCCTGGCACTGTACAGCGTGGACAAAGCTTTACGACTCACAGTGCACTGTTCACTACCTGGTGGCGCTTTTTCCTCTCTTCCTCCTTCTTTGACCCTGGAGAGTCTGAGAGGGGCACCCTTTGGGCCTGCATGAGTCAGGCTCAGCTGCCAGTGGACACCTCGTCACGCACATAAGTCTGACAGGATGCTCTAGTGAGGGTTTTAGGGGTGCCTTTGGGGTTGGGGGAGACTCGGCTTGCGCTACTCCACCGAGATGGGGTACCCAGCTGTCTTCCAGAGACTATGAGCTTCCTATTCTGCCTCATTTAGGCATTTAGACCTAGGGGTGTGTGGCTTAGGGAGGACAGCCAGCTGTGGGTCTCTGGCGCAAGCCAAGCCTACAGCCTATGGCATCCCTCCTTCCTCCTGATACTTTTCTGGAGTACCAGGGTCACAAACCAAAAAGTAGACCAAATTCAATGTATTGCAGTGTAGTTAATATTTCAAAGTCACCAGGATCCATTGAACAAAATTATTGAAACTCAGACATTTCAGGGGTAGGACCCCCAGACCCCACACCGAGGTTTCAAAATCTTTTTGAGGTCTTAAGAATGGCAAATATCTAGTCACTAACGGTAACAACGTGCAGGGATACCATCTACAAAATTTGTTCCTGCAGTACTTTGAAAACTTTGAGAGTTGTTGATTTCTGATTTGTTTGGGTTTCTAGCAAGTAAACATGTTCCCTGAATTACCCTAAATCCTGCAAAGAAGTTTAATTAAGGCGCCTGATATGTACCCATGTTACAACAAAGAGATTTAGCGGTGCTTGTAAGCTTTTTTATAATGTTTCTCCCTGTTTCCACTTCCTATGCTAAGCTAAGCTAGCCGTCTCCTCACTGTAGCCTCATATCAAACAGACAGACACGAGAGCCAATCGATCATCTCATTTATCCGCTTGCCCAGAAAGTGAATGAGCAAATCGTTGAACTATTCCTTTTAATAAACAACTAAGTCTTAGAAGTCACAGTGGATTTAGGGCCGAGCGACAGTCAGACACCAGAAAGTTTAATGTTCAGTAGCCTTCGCCACGGTGTCATGAGGTTTCTCTGTGTATTCACAAAGAAACACAGTTGCCCTGTAAACTAACCAAACGGTTGAGTATCATGTCTTACAAACTGTATTCACATGTCTCAGAAGTGCAAATTACAGTCGCTTACAGTTGCACGCACACACACCCACACGCATATAATTTCCCTAAGCCAGGCCCCAGCAGACAGAGGCCCTGCAATGACCCCATGCCACAGTTAATCAAGGCCTATTCAACAGGGATTCCACAGTACTTTGCTCTGTCACTCTGTCTTCCATATCTGAGGCATATTTGTCACTCTCTCCCACCATATTTTGCTTTCTTCTCTCGCCCTTCATTCTTCTTCTTCTTCTCCGGCTGTCCTCTTTCCGCTCTTTTTTTTTTCCGCCTTTCTTGTTTTCTTACACCTTGTCTCTTTCACACCATTTCTATTTCCTGTCTCTTCCTCTCTGTCTCCGTCGTTTTTTTTTTGTTCCATCAATAAGCCTTGGTTTCTTTGGTATTAAAAACACACACACACGCACACACACAATTAAGACATCAAAGCTTGCAGTGGCCCAGTTTTCGTCTCGAGCCATATCTAAAATTGAAATTGTTTCCCCCCAAAATGCAGTGGCTGCCCTTTTTTGTGTTTGTGAATAATTGTGTTTAAGTGTGTCGGCAATGTGATGCTATTTGGGATGGGCTCTCTTTCGCTATTGTTGGGCTTATCGTCAAAGTGTCCCACATGTAATGGAGTTAAGGGTGGATTAGGGGCACTTTCAGAAAGCGGCCAGAATCTTTCATTGCTCGAAAGCCCTCTCCCCACCACAGCCACCACCACCCCTCTCCTTCTGATTCCTCTACACTTTTTAATTCCAACACTTTCATCTGTGCTGCTGTTTCTGTCCCGGAGCGCCATACTTTGTATGCAGGTTGGGTGTTTAGATAGCAAACGTTACAGTTGATTGTCTGTCTCTGTCTGTCTCATTGGGATGAACAGGAGCTTAAGTGGTCTTTTACTTTCTGAGTATACATATTTACGTCTTAAAAGTTATTGCTATCATGAAAAGTATCACATATTGTAGACAGGCTTTTTTACTAGCTGATCATTACTGTCTATTGGCCAATCCTGCTGTATAAAGAGCAGATAACAGCTGCTTCTGTCACTGGTGACAGTTTTAATACTGTATATACAGTAATTGCAGCTGTATTGACTTGTGTTACGGGTCATGTCTGGTTTCTAGTCGTTAACAGAGCTGCATAGTTTTGAATTTGGTTAAACAACTGGCACATGGGTAAATGGCGCCATAAAAATGACCATCGCCACCACATTTTCCTCTTTGAGTTGTCGAATATAGACACCTGGATGTGACTAAGAATGGCAGCATATGTGAACCTGAAATTAGGGCTGGTCATCGAAAAACGAAACCAGTTCTGATATGATGCCTAAATTTAAGTATCATGAATCATTATCTTTCTTTTTAAAAACACACATGTTTTTCGGCATGACCCTTTCTTCATCGAGCAGCTATAGGATGGATTAGTTTCGGTCAGGGTGATGATAGAGTCCCACCCTCTTTGTTAAGGCTCTCCACCCGTTTCAAGATGCCAGCGTGCGTTTACCAGTGTTGTGCACGTTCACACTTCACAAGAACAAGCCTAAAGTTCAGGTCACACAGATCTAAATGTAGTGGCTCACGTTCATGGTTCACAATTAGAATTTTGTATTTTTGAAGTTCATAGTCCAAAAAATTAACTAGTGTAAGTTAATTTCCATTTTTTTAGACTAAAATAAAATCTCTGGATCATTATTCACCTGCAGATATTTCCCAAGTCTGTTTGGATGCTTCAACTTAATGTGTCTTTTCAAATTCTTTGCTGGCATGATTTTTTTCCTCATTACAGTCAATTCTGACTGGTTCATAAAACTTCAGCAGTTCCGGTAACTGCATTGTCTGAATTGCCAGTTGCACTAGCCATGCAGCTGTTGAAATTTCTGCTCCCTCATCAAATAGTGTTTTCCTCCTGTTAGTGCGTAATGCCCCCCTCCATGGTTACGTGAAGGAAAATGGTTGGTTTAGATTTAACACAATGAGCAAACAGCCTTCAACACAAAAACGGCATGCCGGGTGCATGTTCATGGACAACACTGGTGGTGAAGCAGAACCTCCCTTATCCTAGTCTCTCTACAGACTCTACATTCAGTGAATATAGAGTCTGTAGGCAAACCCCAGAGATCTTGCCTCTGGAAGAAGAGCGGAAGAGCCCTGGTTTCCGGTTGTAGGCTGTTTGTAGTCCACATGATATTGACCAATCACGTTTGAGCCGGCTGCAGTTGCTGCCAGGTTAAACGGTCCGTGCGGTGAACTAACGAGGCGGGACATAATTGGCATCACTGCAAACTCTGAAACCATCGCAATGGTTCAGCATATTTACTTATATATAAACGGAAGTCAGAAACGGAAATTCACCTCCTCCGCCCAAATCGGGGGCAGCAGTAGTTGGGAGGCGGCAGTAGCTCAGTCCATAGGGACTTGGGTTGGGAACCGGAGGGTCGCCGGTTCAAGTCCCCGTCCGGACCAAAAATATGGAGCGTGGACTGGTAGCTGGAGAGGTGCCAGTTCACCTCCTGGGCACTGCCGAGTTGCACCGAACCCCCCAACCGCTCAGAGTGCCTGTCATGGGCAGCCCACTCTGACATCTCTCCACTTAGTGCATGTATAGGTCCAGTTTGTGCGTGTGTGTTCGGACCTGTGTGTAATTGACAAACACAGTGAAAAATTGAATTTCCCCTCGGGGATTAATAAAGTATATAAAAAAAAAAAAAAAAAAAAAATCAAACCAGGATGCCAAAAAATTGGGGGTCTGCCCCCAGAGGCTGTATCGCCGTCTGCCAGAAGTCAGACGCCGAATACAGCCGATGGGTTCCGAGAATGCCCTTTTCCTGACTCCACATTGACCTTAAACCTCAATAGTTTTTCTGCAGTAATTGAATTGTGTCTACCGCAACAAGTATTGCAAATACTGAGAGTTGGCATTGTTTGGTCAGAATTTGAGTTTTGTCTCCTTAATCTACGGTCCTTTTATTAGATGCTTTTGTTTTGGTGCTTTTGTTTAACAAACATTAGAAACTGATACCATGGATAAGTTTGGCTGACTTTGTTGTATCTGCACTTAACTTAATTTAATTTATACACCAGCCTCCACTAAAAGGTGCCCACAGGTGTTCTGTTTATTTACAAATAGGTTAACACTTACACTGTACCTGTGTACAGCTGTTTTATGTTCATATTCAGCCTATAAATGCTAATAAGGGAATCTGAAGAAAGTAAAAATGATGAAAAAAAAAGATTTTATCACTCAAAGTAAGGCATTAAAAAAAGTATTGTTTATTCCACCATAGCTCCAGTGTCGTATTAGCGCCAGTGTAGAAACATTTCAAATGGTACCCAGCCCTAA